ACATTAACAATACTGCTGTGACATTATTGTATAATCCTGTATCATTTTCTTACAGAGAGACATTCTGAAAACCATCTCAATTTTTTCCCTCTGAGATTTCCAGTCAGTTTGTCTACTTCTTGTTTGATATCACGGGACACTTTTCCGCACAGTAACGGTGGAGCACCAGGTTCCATGGCACGGTCTACAGGGGAAAAGAAGTGACACAAAAAAATATATTATTGACAGTAAAAAAAAAAAAAAGAGAGACCAACACAAGTCCACATTTAATCAAAATGTGACGAAGTAGATCTTTATTCATATATTTTCTTATGCAGTTTCCGAACCCACCGACTCGATCAATAAGACTTCTGCAACACTGGGCTGAGATGGTAACAACAAACATGGAGTCTAAAGACAAAGAACACAGACATCTTAGAAGTGATTTGAAAGTTTGTGGATACCCTGACTGGGCTTTTGTTAAAACATCCTCAAGGTCAAGCTAAAACAAAGGACCATGGGGCAGAGGAGAGAAGGAGATCACACAGAGTAATATAGTCATCCCATGTGTGTCTGCAGTGTTAGAAAAACTCAGAAGCAATTGTAACATTATATCCCTTTGTCTTTCATGTCCAATACACTAAGACAGAAGCTTGTACATCCAAATGACCCAACACCCAACCCAAAGCCAAGTAATATGATATATGCAGTGCAGTGCAGTGAGGAATGTAAAGATCTGTACATTGTGGAGACAAAACAGACTCTCAACAAGGATGACCTAACATAGGAGGGCAAGTTCTACACCCTAAGGAAAGGTTTAGAACTTACACCCTAAGGAAAGGTATAGGAAAGGTGTAGAAGTCTTATTGATCCAGTGGGTGCATAAGGACAGTGAGGTGCACATTTTGGACAGTGCAGACAGCTGCTATGAAAGAAGCGCAAAAGAGGCAATATATGTCAAACTGGAACTTTGAACAAAATTGCAGAACATGCTGCCCAATTTTCAAGATGTGTTTATAGATCTGCAATATCAAAAAACAGCTGACTCTAGTAAGAGGAAAGCCATAGTCTACTGCTGACAGCACACAGGTTTTGGCAAGATCAGTTTGTGCCTTATTGCCACCAAGATGCATTTGGATTTGCTGAAACCAACAACCTCTGATTACCCAAACAAAACGGATGTACCTATGAAAAGCTAAGGGCCTATTTATAAGGCTATTTCACACCAAACTTTAGGCTAATTATCACAGTTCTCCGAGTTTTCTGAAACTTCTCACTTCTAATGCTTTTTATAGCTTAGACTTCACACTTTGGCTTTGCATGTTTTATACTGACTTTAAAATTTGAATCAACCTGAGTTTAACAGCTTTTTTTCAGTGACTAAGAGAACATAAGCTTTTTTTAAAGCTGGTTCGTGTTACTTCCTGTGATGTTTTAAAGGGACAATTTGGGGCAATCTGAAAAGAATATATAATGAAAAGAACTAAAACCCTGCCCCATAGTACTTTATGGTCATGGTTGGTATAACTAAACCTTCCCACTTTTTTCCCTCCATTGGTCACTTTAGCCTACAGAGCTATTACTCCTTGTCATGACAGTGCACAATTCATCCCGGCAGCAATTTTGTAGCCACAACTTGCTCAGCCATCTGAGAATGCTGAAGTGAGAGGTCAGGGTTTGGTAGCCTGTTCGGATCAGACAGCTGTGTTTGCTCAGTAGGTTCTCTGATGTTCTCATTGGATTGTCTATTTAATACATTACCATCTTTCTCATCCCGTGATGCAGAGACACTTTTACCTAGAAACAGGTGGCCCAGAGTCATGGATGAAGTTTAAAAGGTCATTGCTTGGGGTGCCAGTCACTTTACTCCTTGTTGACAGAGTAAGCCAACCTTTTCTACAACTCTACAGCATATACCGAGGGTTTTACATCTATTTCCTTCAAACATGTCATTATGGCAAAAATGTAGGCGGCTATTTATCTGCTGGTGATGTTCAAATTGCCTCGGGCCATAAACTGGAATCTTGCTGGGCTTCCACCATCTCATCAGAGAGAGCAAATGTTTTACATTTTCACTTTCTGAATGAAGACTTGGTGTGTGGTGCATTTTTCTGTTTAGTAGTAGATAAATTAAACACAATTATAAAAAAATAAATATCACTAATGCACATAAAGTGTTGTTGATGAACAGATATATTTTATATATGTATTTGAGACCATTATGTGTATTCCTACTTTATATACAGTACTGGATAGATAATATATACTTTATTATCTAGCCTGCCTGTGTGAGAAATCACAAAGTTTTAATGTATATTAATGATTTGAGAAAGATAGATAAAAACATAGATAAATAGATAGATAGATAGATAGATAGATAGATAGATAGATAGATAGATAGATAGATAGATAGATAGATAGATGAGTAGACAGACAACTGGATATACAGTCGATATATAATATGACACTTTTCTTATCTGCTCACACTTTATACACTGAAGTAGGCTGCAAATCATTAATCCAGTTTCTCCTTGTTATTTGTGCAAATATAAGCACTGCAGCCATGCCAAAGCAGGAGTGAAGGTGAAACTATAGATGGCAGAGGTCATAACTCCAAAAAGGTGTTTGACTACAGGTGCTACTATGACACTTACCCAACCTCATTACTATTTACAGTGCCTCGCGCTTACAGCACTCAAAGTTAGGTAAGTACTGCCACAGAGAGATTGTACAATGGTAAGCATAGCAGTTGGTCGTATAAGGCATATCATGCAGTTGGATGAGCCAATTCAATTAGGTGCTGAAGAGAGCATTGAGGATGTGCACAGTGCATTACCCGATAGCAAACAATGAAATATCAATGTAATTTTAGTCATATTAGTCAGAATATGATTTGCCACTGGATGCTATAAGTAACTGCATTTTGCAATGCTTTATTGAATAAACACCTTTTTGAGGGATCATGTAATTGTTTTATCAACCTAAAGCTCACACTGCTTACAGTCTGTATGTAATGTTGTTTAAGGGTCTGACTATTAAACATTAATAAATAAATAATAATAATTATTATTATATAAATACTTTTTTTTCTTACTGCTTTATTTTTTACTACTAATTTTTAAAGTTTAGTCATAAATAGATAAAATAAAACATTTTATATACTGTGTACAGTACATTAGAAATCTTTTAAAAATAGTATTACATATAACAACATACAATTCATGTTATAGGCTTCATCTGTGTGTGTTTTGGTTTAACTGTTAGCCACTTGTCATTTTCACATGCAATGTAATATCTAGTCATAATAAAAATTCGGGAACATACCAGTATTACCAATAATTTCTTCCCAAGGGCGGTCTGCCAAGATATTTATTTGTAAGGGTGAAATCAATGGTGTTAGAGACCAGAGGCGAACAGTAGAGTCCCGGGAGCAGGATGCCATAGTAAATGGTCGATTAGGATGGCAGGTTAAACCTACAAGGCAATGTATCACTGGTTAAGGCACACACACAATGAGGCTGATGTGCTAAAGTTGAGAATTATGGGAATATTCACTTCAGTTATCCAAACAAGTGAAAAAGAAATTCATTTTGATCTTCATTCAGATCTACCAAGGCTCTGGCTCCTTTTGCCAACATGTTGACTTTGAATACCCAATCATGTGCCGATGATTTTCACAGGATTAGATAAGTGAAGTGAATATTCACACTAAAATTGAGTGAAGATTCTCAACTCCTTTAGTAAAGCAGCCCAAAAGACATACAGTGAGCAAGCTGGATTGGTATCTGACATTTTGTAGACACTAGTCTCATCTGAGGTGGGAACACACGATTTAAGGTGGTAGACATAACTTTCACCTCACATTTGCCCTTCCATAATCATCAGTTATTGGTTATAACCAACCAATATACCACTAAATGTGCATACCCAAGTAAGTATACCAAATGTGTGATGAATGTTACATCTTACTGTTTCAATAAATCAGTGCTAAGACAGAACAAAATCAGCTGTATACCTAAAGCTAAAAATTTCCAAATAGTATAGTATAAAAATCAACATACCATAGACATCTGCCCCATGGTCATATACAGTATCCAGACACGTCCCGTCCCTTGTATCCCACACTCGAATAGTGTAATCCCAGCTGCCAGATATTAAAAGATATGGGATCTCTGTATTCCACATCAATCCTCGGACTGGAGCTGTGTGGCCACTCAGAACATTTATACAAGCATCTTGTGTATAGTCCCAGATCCTCACAGTTCTAAAAACAATAGTACAGTCTCATTAACACAAAGAGTGCTTTTAAAACGACGTATTCCTTCAACCCACAGTTATGGAAAAGCCAGAGTTTTGAGGTAAGTATATCACATTTGGTGTAATTGTCCTAAACATTGCATAGAGAGTAAGTGACCAGCACACCAAAAGCTTTATCATCAAAACACCTTTATTGACATTGGTTGATCATGAAATCACAGGACAAAAGCGTTGTTTCGGGACCAAACAAGGTCCCTTCATTAGGCAATGTGATAACATGTGTATAATACAAAACAAATATAAACACACCAGTGAAAAACCCAAGAACCAATCAGAGCACCCCTCTTCACCCCTTCTGATCTCAATGTGACATCACATCCCACTCTACTCCTTATGACCTCATTGCGGCATCATATCCCACTCCACCCCTTCTGACCTCATTGTGACATCACATCCCACTCCACCCCTTCTGACCTCATTGCGACATCACATCCCACTCCACCCCTTCTGATCTCAATGGGACATCACATTCCACTCCACCCCTTCTGACCTCATTGCGGCATCATATCCCACTCCACCCCTTCTGATCTCAATGGGACATCACATTCCACTCCACCCCTTCTGACCTCATTGCGGCATCATATCCCACTCCACCCCTTCTGATCTCAATGTGACATCACATCCCACTCCACCCCTTCTGACCTCATTGCGGCATCATATCCCACTCCACCCCTTCTGATCTCATTGCGACATCACATCCCAATCCACCTCTTCTGATCTCAATGTGACATCACATCCCACTCCACCCCTTCTGACCTCATTGCGACATCACATCCCACTCCACCCCTTCTGATCTCAATGGGACATCACATTCCACTCCACCCCTTCTGACCTCATTGCGGCATCATATCCCACTCCACCCCTTCTGATCTCTTTGTGACATCACATCTCACTCCACTCTTTCTGACCTCATTGCGACATCACATCCCACTCCACCCCTTCTGATCTCAATGTGACATCACATCCCACTCTACTCCTTCTGACCTCATTGTGACATCACATCCCACTCCACCCCTTCTGATCTCAATGTGACATCACATCCCACTCTACTCCGTCTGACCTCATTGTGACATCATATTCCACTCCACCCCTTCTGAACCAAGCACGGTAAACAGAAGAATCTTCAGTGCCCGTTATTGTATATAGACAGCGACAACGACCGCATCTGTCTGAATGCCAGAACAATGACTACATCTGACTGAATGCAGTCACCGTCCTGACAACAATTTCTTACTTGGCTCTGTCAATTTTTAAATTTACTTTTTTTTTCAGGTGGTGCATATAGGACCACTCACAGCTTCAATTTTGGGTCATCTAGTAGGAATCAGTTGAAATTCAAGCTGTGCCTAGCATTTGCCTAATCTACTTTTTTCATTACAGATGTTTAACATAGGACACCATGACCTACCCATCATCTGAACCACTGCAGAGGATTCCTTCTCGAAGGGGAGACCAGCGAACATGGAAAACCTTTGCTGTATGTCCAGTAAAAACCTTCAGAGGCTGATCAGAGCTGGTGGCTAAATAATACACTCTTACATTTTTATCCTCACATCCAGTTGCAATCATATCTCTGTAACACAGAAATAAAGTAAACATAACAATAGGTATATATTAAGAGTATTTGACATTGTTTATGATCTATAGGCAGTCTCAGATTTAAGTGTAAATACCATAACCTTGGGTATAGGAGAGCAGGACAGCTATATTGATGTGTACCGACCTACCTACACTGTCCTCCACTGAACTTTTACTAGGTTACTAAATTCAAAGTGACTGCTACACTTAGGCTGAAGCCAGATCTTCTTAACAGTTATTAGGCCAGCTAGTAGTTGATGGCAGTGTTGTGGATTGGAATCTTCTCTTCAATTTTCTCCAGGGTGCCGTACGCCCTGACAGTTCGTGTCTTCGCCGAACACACAAACTGCCGATGTTCCAGTCGTACTCACTTTCGACTCGAACATCAAGCCCATTTCTACTTATCACAAATGACTATCAGGCTTGATCTAACATCAACCATAGCAAAAACTAATACAATTTGTAGCTAGAAATTGTTATATATGTTGGATCTATAGCAAAAATAGGTTCTAAAACAACAATTTGAATACCTAAGTTAATAAAAACAATTCCTGCAATGAAATGCTTAACTAGTTTACACAGCCGGTCTCATAGACGAGACCCATCTCACAGTTTAAGAATCTCTGACTCACTTGTTGTTTTGGCTCCAGTCACATCCAAATACAGCCGCAGGGTGTTTATACTTGTGCAAAACTTTCCCATCAATTGTGCGAATAATGCTGAAACAATTTTTAAAACAAACAGTTCATTTTTTTAATGCATAAACCAAATAACAAGCCCAATTAAATGAGTACATCAAATATATCAGAGTTTCAGTTAAAGCATTTCTAACGTCAAAACCTTTTTATTGTGTTTTGGGGAGAGGAAGTGAGTGTCAGAACCCCTGTCAGTTTTTTTTTGTGTTCCCACTATGGAGACACATTAGGAATTCTCTCCAATCTAATATCCCTTCTTAGGCAGTTTTCATTCTAACAAGTGTTGCCACTGAAAGATTTCCTGCCTATTTCTGTTTTGGTGACAATTGTAGAATTTTTGACTTCCCCTCATTTTCTGTCTTGGTGACAATGGGCATAGAGGGTAAATGTGCCCTGCGGGTACATCTGCAGCAATAAGAAACCTGATAAGGACTCTAACCCTTCCCTACCTTATCCAAAACTAGAAAAAGAGAGTTTAGTTTCAGGTATGCTTTCACTGTAATAAACAACGTGGGTCCTATTTATCCAAAGAAAAAACTCTCAAAGTAATCACCAATATCCATTAAAGGTTTGGAGCAAATTGGTAACTATGACACAATACATTCTATTTGATAGATGTTTTCACTTAAACTCCTTAGCCAAGATCAGTGATTTCCCCCACTCACCAGAATCCATCTCCACTGCATGTGGCAATGCGCTTAGAATCTTTATGGCTCCAAGAGATGCAGAAAATGCCATTTTTTCCATGCTATAAAATTGAAACACAATTAATAACACACAGTGGAATTCAAATATGCTAAAGCTGATCATATAGTAGCAAAATAAGATACTTAGCCTGTTGAGTTGCTGGCTCTCTGTCCGGTCTGGCCATACACTTGAACATATGGTTAAAGCAAGTTGCAGAGCCCAACTGAACCTTTACTTTAACTCAGCTACATACTTTCCAGGTGCATCAAAACAAAAGATGTTTAAAGTGTTAGAGTTTGTTTTTATTATAAAGCAACCACAGCATGAGTAGAAAAGCCTGTCCACTGCCAGCATGTGTCAGGGAACCAAGAAACCAGTCAGAAACTTAAAGTGCAGGTTAAAAAATAAAAGGTGTTTGTGGAAATTAACAAAGAACAAGATGGCAAAAAAGAATGGAGAAATTCCAGGACATCGTCAGTGCCAAGCCAGAGGACAGATGCCAAAGCAGGTAGTATGTTGAACCAGATCAGGGAATACTGAGAGCAGAGTGAACGGAAACAATAGCCAGAGTCAGGAACTAGGAGAGCAGTCAGCCAGAGCCAGGGTCATACACAGAGAACAGGAACAACAGCAGAGCACTTGGTAGCTCTGATCACATACAAGGGCGGAGACTAAATGGACAAGCTGATGGTTAAATAGTGAGCTGGTGTTTGCATCATCACTCTTGGGTGCCAAGGAAGAAAGAACAGTGTTAGACACACTGCAACAGAAGACAGGTTGCAGCTCAACAGGACAAGGAAGGGTAAGGAACCCTGACAGCATACTGTAGACATGGACCCTTGCACTCTGTAGGGAATTAAGGGTTTCTCTGCAGAGTTAGAGCTAGAGCTCTCCAATCAGCAGCAAGCATGAGTTTACTGACTGCAAAGCCATAGGTTTAATCTATTGCAATTACTTGTACTATGTAGTGCTGTAATGTCCAGCAGGCTTGTGTGTGTGGATCTCAGCTGCGGAGTGACTCTGTGGATGGCTCTGAGGGGTCTAACCAGAGGGTTCACGGTTGCACTCTGTATTGAATGAGTGAGGTCGGAACCCCTAGCACA